AGTGAACATTTCACCCAGCTAATGCAAACTAAAAACCTAGAAAATATGGTAGAACTAGTGCTGAAGCTTCGGCAACCAATGGAAGGACCTCCACAAATTAAAAATTTTCCAATATTGATTGGTATAACAAAATAACTTGAAATTATAATTCTAATTCAAATGAAATGATCGCAACTCAAAATCCCAAAACCACATGTCTTGAGACGCCAACGTGATCTGCTTCCAGAAGAGATATAGAGTATGATACCTACTTATTCTCTCTATGATGGTTGCCACGGGCATCCTGGAGGAAATTTTTAAACTTAAACTTCAATTTCTAATTACAAACCACACAATTCTCATGTATTACGTAGCTAACACTAAACTTCAATAGTTACATACAAACCACACATTTATTACGTATTACATATTCAAGACATTCATTCTGGACAACATAAAGTCTCGGATTGGATAAATATGGATTTCAAGGATTTTGGCTTTAAATCTCGAATTCACCAAATCCATGGTTGGATATAGTAAATCGAGGATGGAGGCTTCATGCAAAATAGAAGATTGAATTTACCTTACTCAATAGTTTTGGGTAGGACAGGAGCAAAAAGAGGAGAACAATGGGTGTTTAAGTAAGGTGTGATTCCTTCCTTATGTTCCCAGATAGCTTTAATTGTTGTTGCATTGCAAGGTTTCAATCATGAAGGCGGTGGTTTTGGAGACAACAAAGAGAGGGAGAGGGACATGAGAGGGTTTCAAGGAGAGAGAGCAATGAAACAATGAGAGAGTGAGAGGGCGCAAATGAGTCTCTGCGGAGCGAAGTTAGAATTTTTGGTCGCATGCATTGGATTTGCATTAGACTAATTACGAGACACAAACTTATTAATGTATGTATTGCCATCAAAATAGTCGATGCTATTTAGTGAGTATAATGTGTTAAGAACATATTGATGCAAAGTGTTTGACGTAAAGCAGAAACAAATCTGAACCTGCAATTTGCATCAAAAAAATTCTGACGCTAAATCTAATGTTCTTACCTATTTTTTGTAGTGCAAGATGACTATCTTGTTGTGATAATTCCAAAAAATCAACAACTGCACATATTTGTTTAAGGGTGAGTATTACACAACTTGTAAGCACACAACAATCGTTCACTACTATAACATCTCATATCAATTGGTTCGTTGATGTCCTCTCACCACAAGCAATGCCTTTTTTGTCTTTGGACTGCATCAACACTTAGCATATCTTACATGGTTCATCTTTTAAATCTAACATTCTTGAGGTTCTTATGGCATTCATCTATATATATATATATATATATATACATACAGATAGATACATATAGATATACAGATAGATACATACATATATAAGTTATATATATATATAATACTTAAGCTATTCTCTACATTAGATTGCTTTAAATAGAAAAAGAATGCAACATAAAAATGGAAACAAATTGTGCTTATGTTTTTATGACCCCAAATTTTGCCTTGACAAATAATTACGAAGTGAATTCCATCACAAAGTTTCACTCTTGCAAGGAAAATATTATGTAGAAAATTGAATTCCCCCAATGGGAAAATTTATGGAAAAATCTCTATACTCTTAAGAGATCAAAGAAGTCTTGTTTCATTGATAACTCCAAGTAAGCCTGAAGAGGACCCATTTACCTTCTCTCAATTGATATCATCTAAAAGTTATATATTATTTATGACCAACTTTATCAAAGAGAGATATATGTCTAGATATTTCCGATATCAATCAATTACGATCATTATTCAAAATATTATAGAATATTGAAGCTCTAAAAAGATATTTTAAAAGTGAAGTCCAACTATGAGAATTCCTTACTATTGAAAAGATAAATAACTCAATAAAGAAAAAAAAAACGTATTATTGTAATAAAAAATTCATCTAGTTTATTAATAGCATTTAAATTATTTTTGAGTGGGCGGGCTCTAATTAGTCCCAACAAAATAACCTAAAGAGACTCATCAAGTTTGATATATATGTCGTTTCTTGTCCTGTTACTCCCAATATTTCTTTCTTTGGTAATGATTCACCTCCTTGTTAAAATATTATGATTATACCGTTATCATATCAATTTTTGTTAATCATTTTGATATCCTAAGCTTCCTTAATTACACTACAAGTTTCAAGAATGGCCTCTTGTTTGAGCTTCATAAGAAAATGGGAATCAATCCTTAGATTATTTTGAGATACTCTTATTAGATTCTTTGAAGAAATGTTTTCATTCTAATGTTCGATCATCTCTTAAATTGTATTGGGGAAATAACATTTGAAGTTAGATAATGTGATAATCATTAGCATGCATGCCCTATATTTCTACAATTGCATCTTTAAACTGCCTAATTTAAATTTTTTTGGTGTTGTAATGTCAACTCCACACCTTTTTATGTAGTTTTCTTTTGTTGATAACATGATTATCGTGCATAATGATCTCTATTATCTATGCATCAACTACAATTTTTATTTTTTTAAAATCTTCATTGATATTATTGTGCAAACAAGCATAACTTGCAAAAAATACTTTCCAAATGACTCTCTTGGTAAAGCTTATTGAGTATATTGTCTCTCAAAAATCTTTATGGGAGGGTCTCAGCTACTCCTCTTCGGCAGTCATCTCAATAGTCCCGCAAGTTCTATCACACATAATTATTGAATTGTGCTTGACACCCGTCTTCTAATTCAGTCATAACTAGGGCTGTAAAATAGGGGTGTAAATGAGGTGAACAAGAGCTAGCCCAGACTCTGCTCGTGTTCGGCTCGTTAACAAATATTATTGTTCGTGTCCGGCTTGTTTATATTTTGAACACAAAAAATGTATTTGTGTTCGACTTGTTTTCTTAGCAAGCCGAACACAAGTTATTTGCGAAAAAGAATAGTTTTGACAATCCTGATAATGCAGCCATAGGATATTAAGGGTTGGGGCCAAATTTAATTCTTATTATTAATATTAAAACATAATCTAAATATAATTTAATATATTTTTATGTTATTTTTTAATTAATAATTTTAATTGATTACAAATCTTTTGTAGCCTAGTAGTCAAATAATTTTTTTAAAAAATACTACACATCAATATATATATAGACACACACACACATAATTGATGAATAGTATTTCGAGCCGAACACAAACGAACAAATCTTTACTCGTGTTCGGCTCGTTTATATATTGGGCAAAAAAAAGTGTTCGTGTTTAGCTCAGTAACTTAGCGAACAAATCAAACGCAAGCTTTTCAATGAGCCGAACACGATCTGTTCACGAACGAACCGTTTTGACAACCTTAGTTCGAAATTGCTTAAGCAAGATCAAGTTTGGCTCGTGTTTGACTCATTCGAAATTGCTCGAGTTCGAAATCGGCTCATGTTTGAAATTGACTCATGAACAATGTTTTTGTGTTTGACTCGATTTAAATGATATTATTTCTTATAAAAAAAAAAATGTTGAGTGTTGGATTCAAACCTAGACCAAATCTATGCAAAAAAAAAAAAAACACAACCACATTAACACATGAGATATTATGATTATAATTTAGATATAAATATAAATAATAAATTATTATATAAATAATTATATGATTTTTTTTTTATTTTGAGCTAAAATGAGCCAAGCACGAGTGAAAAAAGGATAGTTTTGTGTTTGACTTGTTTATAATTCGAGCGTAAACAAACTGTTCATGTTCGGCTAGTTCGTTAAACCAGTCGAGCACGGGCTATTTAACGAGCTAAACACATGCTATTCGTGACAACAAACTTTTTTGACAGTCCTACCCATAACTAGGGCTGTAAATGAGCCTCGTGTTCGAAATTGACTCGTGTTCGGAATGACTCGTGAAAGGTGTGTTCGTGTTCAGCTCGAATAATATTTTCTTATTCGTGTTCGGCTCGAAATTGGAGAAGGAGATGACTCGGAAGAGGAAGAGAGCCCTAAGTTCTAGAAAGATGACTCGGAAGAGGAGCAGGAAGACAAACACAAACAACAAACCCTAAGCTCTGCTACTGAAACCCTTTCGCAATTTTGAGAGGAGAAGGAGATGACTCGAAAGAGGAAGAAAGCCGAAGTAGAACTTTTGAGAGCAGAGAACACAAACGACAAATCTTAAGCTATTGCGGCCGAAAGCCTTTCGCTATTTTGAGAGGAATGAGAAGATTTGGAAGAGGGAGAGGCTGCTCTTGCAGCCGAAAGCCTTTCACGATTTTGAAGTATTTTCTCACCGATCCTGACTAAGTGTGATGACAGCTTTCTAGTTGCGGTCCAACTTTTTTAAAAAAAAAGTTATAGTAGTAACGTAATTTTTTGCAACATCAAATTATTTTTTAGCATTTTCACAACTGCTTCTTAATAAACTTTTAACTTTCCCAAACAGCCCGTAAACCCACACAAATTGAGAAAATTATGTACATTACATATTCGACATTCGGTTAGATAAACCTTTTTTTTTTTGGGAAAAATTAGATGGATAAACTTGCACGACAAATTGAATTAAGTTTGACTCTATTCAGTCATATTTAATTTGACTATATTCAATAGTAGAAGGAAAATAGTTTATAGATTATCAAATTATATTTAAGTGTTTATGTTTGATTAGCTTATTCAAGAAAATTACACATTAATATAATCAGCTCGACAAACACCTCAACAACACAAAAGAAGATTCGTAGTATTCCAAAATCAAGCCGAAAGTAAATCGAACCGCTCAATAATTGCCTGAAAATAATAAACCGGAATTAAACCGATCAAAATCCCGGCTCAAAGCAACCAGCCTGTAGCCCATACACTTCCCCTGATATACGCCTCCGTGTTAATGCTATATATCTCTCATTACTATTGTATGCCCGCACGCGACTCCGATGTAGCGTGGAAGCGTGGAGCACTTACGCGGCGATAGATGCCACGTCCCCATTCTCGCATGCGACTTTCAACCCAGGCACACCTGCCCGTTACCACGCAGCATCTACCGGTAGCCACCGGTTACTGTTTCTCATTTATAAATATTGCTCCACCGGTTTTTTTCCCTCAAATTTGGCAACTGCCAACAAGAACCCTAACCGCGAAGTAAGAGAGGAGAAGAAGGTCCCGAGGAAACCCTAGTGGTTGAAGATGGTTGCTGGAGCGGAAGTTATTCATCATAGCATACCCGTGTTAGATGTGCAGTATCGCTGCATCTCGAAGGAGATCGAGGAGATTGCGGAGTTATCGGCGACGGTGGTGGCGCCGGCGGCTTCTCCTCCTATGTGTCGGCAGGCGTCTTGGGTATCTGGAACGGTGCCGATTGAGGTCGTGGTTGCTTCTGAGCTGGTGAGAGTTTGATGCCTTATTTGACTCGATCTGATGATGTGCTTCTTTGACCTTTAAGATCTAGGTCTGAATTAGATGGAAGTAGATAGTTTTGTGGCGGTAGGGTTTTGATTTTCTTGTTCTTGTTTTGAAAAAGGGGAAGGGTTATTTTGTTATTTTGCTTGATCGGGAGACGTCTGATTCTTTTTTTTTTTCTTTTTTTTTGAGAAATTCCTTTGATTTTGTGGTTTAGAAAAGGGGAAGGGTTATTTTGTTATTTTGCTTGATTGGGAGACGTCTGATTCTTTTTTTTTTTTTGAGAAATTCCTTTGATTTTGTGGTTTAATTTGTCGTATCTGTTTTTGCAGAAAAGTCACCGTTAGGTTTTCTTGATTTTTGAAATCTTGAATTGCTTGAAGTTCTTTTGCTTGCTGATAGAAATTTTGGAAACAACTTTTGTGGATTCCGGAAACTAAGCTGAAAAAAGACATCTGATTGTGAATTTGAGTTTATGACGGCATATGGATGATTTCCCGTGGAGCTTCTTGGATCATTTATTTGTTATGTTTAGAAGGTGTAGAAGACATCATGTCCTTATCATGAACAGTACTTTGAAAAAAAAATTTGGATGTAAAATTTCCTTTTCTTTTAGCGAGCGTTATGACTTGGAAGAACAGGATCTACGGTTGTAAGTTCGTTGTGATGGATGGTTATAAATTTCCTGTCATAGCTTTTAGTGTTAAATTGAGACGCTAAATTAAGTTCTGATCATGATGTATTCATAGAAACCTTCAGACATTGTTAGATCAATCTGAGCTCACTTATAACTGCAATATATATCACACTTTGTTACAAGAACTAAAAACTATGTCAAAGAAAATTGGAAGTTACACAATGGAGAGATATTAACACCACAAGAAAAAACTAAGAAGTCAGAGATGGTACAATTTCTTTCAATTACAGAGCTTGATATTTCATTTTCCTTTGGTAGCATGAAGATCAAATATTAAAATTTTGGATAAAATTTGGATATTTCAGCTAATTTATTTCTGCCTTCCAGTATATATTAACTCCAATATATATTTCTTGTAGGATTTGAGAACATCCGATGCCACTCCAAATGATGCAGAACCTATAATCTTCCAATTCATTCCCAGCATCAGGTCAGGAAGTTTTTCTGATATTGGACCTCGGAAAGACATGGAAGATGAGCATATACGCATAGATGATTTGTCTGCTCATCTTGGTTCTATATTTACTTGCCCTTCACCAAGTGCCTTCTATGGGGTAATTAATTTCTCATTCCATTATTACTATCTCTGCTTGTTGAAGCTGATATCAGTTTCCTGATTAATTATTTTTGTTCTGTTTAGATTTTTGATGGTCATGGAGGCCCAGATGCTGCAGCCTACATCAAAAGACATGCAATTAGATTATTCTTTGAAGACGCTGAGTTCCCGCAGGCATCAGAAGCCAATAATGTCTTCATAGAATCAGTAGAGAACTCAGTGCGGAAAGCATTCCTTCTTGCCGACCTCGCTTTAGCTGATGACTGCACTGTTAGTTCTTCCTCTGGAACAACAGCACTTGCCGCATTGATCTTTGGAAGGTCCGAATTCTACAGATACTTTACTTAAGTCTTCTACATTTCTGCTTAGTTTACAACATATTGACAACTTCTATAACATGCAGGCTTCTATTAGTCGCGAATGCAGGGGATTGTCGGGCTGTTCTGTGCCGGAAGGGTAAAGCAGTAGATATGTCACAAGATCACAGACCCATTCATGCAGCTGAAAGGCAAAGGGTAGAGGAGTGTGGTGGGTATATCGATGATGGGTATCTCAACGGGGTGCTCTCAGTGTCCCGAGCTCTCGGAGACTGGGACATTAAGCTTCCTATAGGCTCACCATCACCCTTGATTGCTGAACCTGAGTTTATGCAAGTGATGCTGATGGAAGATGACGAGTTTCTAATCATCGGCTGCGATGGCATATGGGATGTGATGTCCAGCCAACATGCCGTGAATTTAGTCAGGAGGGAACTCCGGCGGCACGATGATCCGGAGCGGTGTGCGAGGGAGCTGGTCCTGGAAGCACTGAGGCTCAAGACCTTCGATAATCTGACCGTTATCGTTGTTCGTCTCTCCCCCGAACATTGGGATTCTGCTGCTCCACCGGAGCAGCAGCAGCACCACCAGCAGAGATCGCAGATGGTTCCCAGATTGAGGAGTTGTAGCTTGTCAACTGAGGCACTTTACAATCTAAGGAGTTGGCTGGAAAGGTGAGGGAGTGGACGTTTTATAAGAGAGATGATGAGAATGTCATTGAATTTCAGTCAAAGTTTTTTTCTTTTTTTCCTTTATTTTCTGTACTTTCTTCATTTGAGCTGTATCTGTAGGATTCATGTGATTGGTGCAGCCAACATTTTTGTAGGGGTTTTGTTATGCTTTCTTTTCTTCTTATGATTGTTGGTGGGATGATATTTGTGTATATAAATGTCATAGTAGGAGAGGCTTTATTGGATAGGGTAATGTATTTTTCTTGGCACTATAGGCCTTCATCTCTCTGATTATATGGACATGTTATTTTACATTTTTGTTTCATTATATTTAATTTTTTCTAATTTTTTGAGTTGCAACTTTCGAACATGGGATCTTTTGGTGGGAATAAACTGTTCAATTATCTTGCCACCATTATTTCTTTGCATAAATTCAAGTTGCGGGCAATCAAGGGTGATCCTGAGCCTATTGGAAGCTTAATAGAAGGCTGCATGTCATAGTAGTCATCAATATCTCTGAAACCAAGCATAAAAGTAGAAGATTCAAATAAAGATTCTACGGAATTCTGACCATACGAAGATCGTTATTGTTTATTCATTTAGCGTTCGGGTTTGTTGAACTGTTCTCTTACGCAAAGGGTGCAAAAAGATAGATTCGTGTTTTCAAGGAGCAAATTTTGCCACGTTATTGGTGATTGAAAGGGGACGGGTATTTTAGAGGAGGTTGATGATCTGGTGGTTTTTGTCAGAATATCTAAAGGTTGAATTTTGCTTTTAGTTTATAGGGCCAAATTGTGCCACGGTTTTTATACGGGCATTTACATATATGCATGCCAATCCATTCTTATCCATTTGCAATGCTCCCCTAATTTTGCTTTTTTTACGTTTATTTATTCCTCCCAATTCTATTTTTTTTGCATTTCAGAAACATCATTATTTTATTTTTAAATGGAGAATTTCGAAGAATTCTATGGATGTGGGTGATAATGAACTGTATTGGTGTTGAACTCTCCCTTTATTTTATGCAGCTTATTTGACCTTATCATGAGTAGGAATTAATCATTTTGTTTATTAATGTTGTAGTACTATCATATTACTTATTTTTTGTTATTTGGCGTTAATTAGTGAGAAGATGAGTTGTTGAGATGTTGACCGACCAGCCCTCAGGCGGCATTTTCCACGTTTGATCTTTGAGAAAATTCAAGAAACGCTGCACATGACAAAAACGTTTACCGGCTTAGAAATGAAGCAAAACGAATTAAGTCAATTTTTAATTATTTAATTATATATATATATATATATATTCTGCTTCAGTTGGTTGTGTCTACTTGCCTCTATAGGGTTGCATCCGTGGGTGCATACAACTTGACTGACAGCCCATTAATGTTGGAAGAGTGTTATAAGTATTGGGTAATGTGGAGATCCGGTCCAACGAATTTAATTAACTTCTTAATTAAGTATCTCATCTATCGCTCACTTATCACATCTCGTCTACCGCTCATCTACCTCCCAACTACTGCTCATCTACCTCCCACATACCGCTCTCATGGTTTCTATAAATAGTCTCTTTTGGTTTAAAGAAAATACAAGCCAAGCTAAGCAAAACCAAGTAAGACCAAACCAAGTCATCTTGAGAGCTAAGAGAAAGAGAGAGAGAGAGAGAGAGAAAGAGAGAAGAAAATAGAGATTTTCTTGTAAACGTCAAGACACTCGACGGTGTAATTCCTCGAAGAAATAAATCTTCTGCAGCTCCGTGGACGTAGGCAAATTTGTTGAACCACGTAAATATGCGTTTCGCTCTGTTGTTTTTTACTGCGTGCAATTTTTTTCGTTCTAATTTTTCTTTTTATTGTCGTCGTTTTTCACAACAATAAAGAGAGTAGTATGGGAAAGGTTCCAAATCACATAGTTCATTAGAGGAAGAACCAGTAGAGATTTGGAAAAAGATGTGGTTTAGAAGATGAATATCTTTGAAGTTGTTAGTGGTTACATTACTTTAGACTATTAGATTTGATGCTTTTTGAACTCAGATTGTGCACCATTTCTATGAATGCTCTTATTAACAATTATTCCTTTCTTTTCAAAGTTATACTAAATTTCCTATAGACAATGCTAAATAAATGTAAATGGCGAAAACCCACTGTATGTTGATATTATTAAAGTGCATCATTAAACGATTAAAGAATTAAGAGAGAACAATAGAGACAATCTAATTGAATTAACTTCAATTAAACTTATGGCAATTGCAACCATAACCACTCCAATAACTCTTTAAAGATATTAAATAACTATCATGAATGAGCCTAAACCCATTTGAAGTTGATTTAACCCAAATCATAGGCCCAATTGAACCCAAGACAAATATTAACTTAGACCCAGACTATAAAAGTGTAATTGCCTTTTTCTTTAACCCTTTTAATGCTCCTTAAGTAGCCCTAATTACTACTATTCATCAAAATGCCAAACCAAGAAAATCATCAAAGAACTAAAGTTTGATCCAAACTCATTTCAACTCAATAATCATCTGATGTAGCTGCAACAACCTCTAAAACAACCTAAGTTAGCATGAAAAATTTCTATTGGAGGTTCCCTAACTGCATGGGAAGCCAAATTACCTTTCATGTCATTTTTTTGCCCAAAATCATCATTTAGTTGGGTCTATATATAATATCAAATTAAAAGGACCAAGGTTGGGCCTTTTGTTTTGAAAACCTTCACAAACTTTTCATGAGTGATCCATTATCATTCCAGAGTTCAATTGCTCTTTAAAGTTCAAGAATGATCAAGGGGGATAAAGTTTTGTTTAACCAAGACGCATCTATTCTATCAATCTATCAACCTAAAAAATTGAATAAGAGAAGTCCATTGAGCTCAGGCAAACTCTGTAAACCACCAATTTCAATATAATTCTTTTTTGAACAAAACAACTTGCCAAAATAATTTTAGTTCCATTCGAGTTTAATTGATTGCTAAACAAACTATAAAACAAAACCACTCCAATAATAACATGTCTCTTTCTTAGGTCCTAGATCATTTGAAAAAATGAAAATCCTCATTGGATGTCAGGATCACATGCTTCTTAATCTATTTCTATGAATTATTGGTTGATTGGAAAAGATGAAATCTCCTATGTTCATTTAGTTTTATTGAAATGAGTGGATCCAAAATTGATTCAACTCCCTAAACAACAAATGTAGTTGTCCACACCATGAAAATAAATCCAGGGCACGTGGAAATTTTCTATATGATGGTCTCTAAATACTTGGAACGTTATATTAACTTCATTTTGCACAAATACATCATTTGATTGAGTCATTTTATTGGTCATTATATTAACATTCAGTACACTTAATGTGTAAAATGGTTAACAAAACGAATAAATCCATAAGATTATCACATCTTTCATAAAGCATAAAAAAAATTAATATTTAACAAAAAATCAAGTGTAAATACTCATTTTATTCTTAAAAAATAAAATTAGAACCAAATAATTAAGGTTTTTTTATTAAATAATTAAATATTAAAATTTAATAGTTAAGTCATTTTTTATTTCGATCCAAATTTCTCCGATCATTCTTTGAGTGAAGCTTGAGCTCTAAAAATCTTTTGGGGTTAAAGGAGAATTAAATTCTTTAATGCATTGGATTCAATATTAAAAATTCAAATTTTAATAAAAATTACTAATAAGTTAAAATGTCTTTAAGTGATTTCAATAAGGTCGTTTTTGACATTACTTACTTTAGAAGTGAAATCTTCAAATTCTTAAATCAATCTCAGTAAATAATTAAATTATTATTTCTTGTATTAAATAATTCAATAAATAATCCCTTAATTTTACTAATTCATAATAAATAAATTAAGATTATAAAAATCCTCAAGTTTTGCCCAAAAAATCCTAAAAGTAGAGCCAATTTAGAAAAATTAAAGCCAAATAAATTTAGCTAATTAAGTGCTTTCTCAAATTTTTAATTTAAGAAAATTTAATAATGTATAAGAAATTTAAAATCAAAATGTTCCCAAATTTTAATGACTCTTGAAAAATATACTAAACTTGCATATAAATTCTCATTAAATTTATATTTCATTTGAACTTTTTATAATTTTTAAATGAGAGTTTATTAATAATTAATAATTAATTTAAAATTTGTCAATAATTCTTTAGAAGTTATATGAAATATTTTAAAAGTTATTCCTAACTTTAAAGAATAATTTTATTAAATTTTAAAGTTTTTTAAACTCAAATAAAAAAATTTAAAATACATAATTCTAATAACCAATAAATAAAAATTATGATTAATTATTAATCCATATAATCCACATTCGTGTGCTTTTAGGTGTATGAGATATCATTTTACCCATTAGGCTAATTTGTTTATTTTATAGTGCTCAAGGTTTCTTAATCTGTATAATTCCCCTTGAGACAAGTTTGCATAGTAATTCAGAGTTCTCTTTAAATCTAAAAGTCAAATTAAAATAGAAAATTCTAAAAAATCAAATAAATTTCTTATGAAATTAATTATTTGAACTTATACCACTCAATAGAAAGAAATTAAAACCCAAATAAAATTAAAATTTTAAATCTTAAACTCTTGTTCCACTTACCACATAGTCTAGGATATAAAATAGCTTTTGTTGTTAAAGAGTGAACCCTAATATTATGTTAGGATTATTTGGTCTATTATTTGTCCAAGAAGACACATTTAAATTAACTTTAGATAACAAAAATACTTATATCCTGTCAATTTTACTCTATATTTCAAAACTCAATAGACAATGTCATTGAGAAAAATACATACTACAGTCGTGATTATTTTAAAGTGAACTCTACCAGCCAAAGCACTCAGACAGAGTGCTACAGTCGGATTTGTATTTTGTGAAACCATCTGAGAAAAGATAACACAAACATTGATATGAGTAACATCCTTACTATTCTGAGATCATTGAGAGTGATTATAAAGTTTCACATGATATGATTTTGGCTCTTTATGAGCTTAAGTTAATTTTAAATTTATCCCCCTTGATAAATTGGTGTGAGGGTGAATGTATTTTGCTCTTAGTCTTTAATTGGTAGATTTTCATTTCAATGATTTTAATTTTTTTTTAATAATTTCAAGAAAAAATTCATTTTAAGATGAAATCCTTGGTTCACAATAACTTTTCATCTGGCCATCCTCCCAATTATAGATTTTTTAACTAAACTTAATGGTTTTAAATTTAGTTTTTTGAATGAGTATATTTTTTAATG